ATAAACAAGACGTCGGGCCTTCTCTGCTAGAATTTCAGAGGATATGTCGATAAGAGTAAACTGCGCTGGTTATCACCCTCTTAACATGCCAAATATTCCTAATGATTGCGCTAAAGCATCTCTGATACCCTCTTCGTTATTTCGAGCCATGTAATGCTCAAAAGAACGTTTTAGTTGCGTTGTACTTTCATAGCCATCATAATAAAGCTCTACTTATCAATGCTGACCGTTTTATAAGCAAAATATGTGCACTTACGTTTTCCTTTGTCGGCGAACATTAATCTCTTCCTACGTTGGTCAAATTTGATTAATATGTTCACAATTGTCATAACGTAGATGCTACGGGGCGAAGAAGTCTTGTTGATTCCTCTTTTTGATTGTTGTTGCCAGAGATTAACAAGAGCAGCGACCCATGACAGAATAGTGCTAGGACTAATTGTACAATTTAAGATAACGTCTAAAGCTTTGACTATTAGCTATTTGCTGCTTTAAAAACAGTGATATTCACCTGATTTGGCTGTATTTTTTGATGAAGAAGGAACTGTTTTCAACAGCATGTCAATTTCTGCTTGAGTTTGATGTAAAATTCGTTTTTCATCATCATTTGAGATTTCCTCGAGTCTTTGCTCTGTTGTGAGCTCCTCCGGTTCGATTTCAGCCTCATCTAGCATGTTGTTGTCAATTTCAGCAGCAGAAAGTACATGTTTTTGTTTTTTGCCTTTTCCTTGCAAAACAACCTCATATAAAAACAACAGCGCATGTTGAGGAGTAACGATGTCGCTATAGATCAGCTGACATCCTTTGATTGTTTATAAAGGCACCTCCTTTCTTCATCAAACACGACTCCGCTCAAAATAGCACAATTGAGCAAGAAGTTGCAGGAATTAGCAAATTTGAGCAAGGAAGAGTCCTTTACTCACCGTTCAAAGAAGTTTTGCTTATCAGCCCACTCTTTCCACCTTTGTTGTCGAGGTCTGTATTGTTTTCGACTGTTGGAAGACAAAATAAAC